AGTATACACCTATAACCTGACAATCTGGCCCCTCAAAAAAGGTTTTGAAGGTCAGTACGCCTCCTATGGACAGTATGACCCCCTGGTTATGTAGGATCCCAAAATTCCGAAGGTCTGGCAATATGTTCCATTTTTCTGAGCTACTTTCAGTCCAGGTATGGGTTCATACGGGTGGCTGCTGATTGGTTTCGATCATTTGTGAAAGCACATTGGGATAGCATCGCGGCATTCATGGAAGACCCGACAACTCGTCTCAGATCCCTTTCCCAGACACTCCATGTATGCCATATATGCTGATCAGTTGGGGTGGTTTTGGGGGTCAATGTAGGCATATATATCATACATGGAGTGTCTGGGTTTTGTTCCTTCAAAATATGTCAAAACCGATCTCTATTGGGATTCAGTCGTGTCAGATGCCGGTGATGTGTTCGACACTGAGACATGAGACACTGAGTCATTGTTTCTGGTGCAGTCGTACCTCAGAACTAAGGTTCGGTACGAAAACGGATTTTTGTAGGGCCCTAAAACGCACAATGCTGGAGACCTGCTGGAGGGTGCCTTCTATAGTAGGTCATCATCGAAGAAAACAACAGCTGGTATCTGCAGGTCTCTGCAGTTCCACCTTCACATGGTTCACACCAATTGTCCACCCACCTCGCCCAACGGCGGGCCCAACGGGCCTAGGTGTCGTTGAACACCCCAGACCCCACCCGTCGGCCTGTCGGCGGTTTGGCTTCGGTCCTTGCCAGGCCGAAGAAGCCGCTCCCGAAGCTCCCGAAGCGCAGTAGGTCTGCGCAGTAGGTCGAGGTGGGTCAGTCGAGACGGAGAGTACGGACGGAGCGACCGTTTTGGAGGAAGGAGGAAGCATGGACCTATAGTGAAGGAGAATCAAGACTGTTCCCTTACTAATTATTCTGGAACCACCTCAGAGGTGGATTTGGAAGATTGCTTAGAGAGAATGATGGACAGAAGTTGTCTTGTTTCTTTGGGAACGCTCACCTTGGGGTTTTCTGAGTTGCACTACGGGTTGTGATCATGCATCCACGGGGGTACTGACTGAACGTCTTTGGGAAGTTAGGATGAAGTACCATGGAGTGATGACGCTGAGTTTGTTTGTTTTTGAGGACATGATCAGGGTGTTTGATGTTTGGTAAGTGACAAACTACCAGCAGCAATGACAATTACCTTTGTGTATCACAATGTCAGAGTATTATACTCACGGTTGTTGACTCCACTACATCAACATTGGGAGTCTGGTGCAGTACGTTGCTTGCAGCAATGACCTGACATGTGCAGTTAATATATGCTTGCGACAGGCAAGCGTGGCCAACCCAGTAGCAGCAGTGGTTAGTTATTTTGCAATATAGATGATCATGTATACGTTATCAACTTTGAGCATTATAGAAGGTTTCTAAGTATAGTGGTTAGATGTGGTTGGTGGTTATAGGTGTCAACATAGCTCAAAGACCTTCGCCAAATCAAGGACACATCCGGAACGCATCTCTCCCGACCGTCGGGCAAGCCGACGGCTCCGAGACTGTGCAACGATCGGCCCGGCGAAGACAGACACGCCGGGCGTCGAACGCACGACGCGTTCAAGGGCCCAAGGGCGTAGCGTTCGAATCCAGCATAGGGGGCTGTCACCGCGCATGACTCGTGTCGCGAGTCGCGGTGCTGAGAGACAGAAGACTTTGGGGTGTTCTGCTTTCAGAGTCATGCTCAAGTGTATGATAGCCTGGTTTTGCTTAAGGTGATATTTTATTTTCCATATGGTTAAATACTGTTAAACCCCCTTCTGGAGAATAATTATGGTTTATTTTTCTAGGTTGCAAATAGGGTACAGTTGTGGAATGTGCATGAACATGTTCATTTTTGTTGGATGGCGGTTGGTGGGGTTGCTTGAGATATAGAATCACTGTATATACTATACACAAAAAAACACACAATATGCTTTTGGATGCGTATGTAAGGATGATCATCCATCCATTCAACCCACAGCCCAGCGCACAAAAACAATCAAAAGCACTGTTCTCGAGTCCGCCCTAAAACACCTCGAGGACAGTTGTTCATGCTTTTAGGCAAAAGCAAAGGCTGCACAGTCATCCCAGAGCGACACGTGATCACAGATTCTTCTGGATCTCTTCTGGAGCCACCAGACGTCGGCGACACGTGGATCGTGCCATAAACGTCCAGTCAGACAGGCGTCTTGGGAGGATGGGGCTCCATGGGACTGCCATAGGACTGCCGCCCCATTGACCCGTTTCAACCACCCCTGGCCGTTTCTCGGCAGTCCTATACCACTCCCAGACAGGTCGTGTTTGGGATTGCAATGTTTTGCACATGGACGTCCAAATACCAGGAGCCAATGGGTGTCCAATAGACTACCCTGCCCTACTTGCAGGTCTCTAGACAGGGCACCCATTGGAAGTGCTAGGTAGGTGTGGAAGTGTATAAGGAGACCTTCCAGGCGTTCCGACCCCCCAAGGTTCGGACCATAAACCAGTCGACCCAGCCAGGTCCACGGATCCTGAGGGGTCAATGTAGGCAGTCCTATAGCAGTCCCAGACAGGTCGTGTTTGGGTATTGAAAAACACCCCAAATAGTTGACGGATGCTTGGAGGGATCAACATGAAGACAGCGGGTATTCAGGCTATTGTGGTGTCACTGCAGGACCGATCACAATGGGATAGGGGGAGAAGATGTTCCATCATGTTCCATCTTGATATCTTGAATGTCCATCAAAAAACTCTCGAAGTCCAAGACTATATACCCTAGGGCTCCTGGCCCATCTCCGCTTCAGTGGGCACGGTCGACCCCCCTGGCACCCACCCACCCCAACCACCTTCGAAACGGAGGTGGGCCAGGAGCCCGTCTAGGGACTCTTCAAAGAAGGGTCTGACGAAAGATGACCCGCGTCCGTGAAGCTTCTAGCATGGTCTTTGGACCTTCCGACTGGGCCTTTTTCGGGGATAGTTGTTGGGACGGGCAACGAGACGTCTTCATTCATAAGGGATGTCCAAGCTTGCAGGTCCAAGCTTGCACGGACGGAAGATGGCATACCTGCATGGCATAGCTTGAAAAACAACGGATGCGAAGTTGAGGTCGGCAAGAAGCCTAAGCCTATAATCATCACGTTTGAACTCTTAAAGCAAAAAACACGTCGACGACTTCGGGGGCCAGCAATCTGCACAGAGCCCTTTGTGGGCCACGAACATGGGGTCCGCCATGGATGACCTGCGGTGTGCGAGCATTGGCAAGCATGGGCGTTCGACAAGTCCATGTGGCTTTCGGTGAAGAACAAGAACTTCGGAGTCTCCGTGGTTGGAGAGTTTCTACCATTCTTGCACATGTCCATGCAAAAATAGCCAAAGGCTGGCTTGGAATGGACGGGCTTTACTAGCTTATGGAGGACCCAAGTATCTTGAAACGACGATGTTTCGATTCCGTCTTCATGCGGGTATCAAAACTAGAGTCCCCTGGTGTGAATGGAACACATGAAGATTAGACCAAGTCTATGGTTTGAGCCGGCCCTCCTTGGCTGGTTTGAGTCATGGAAAGAGGTTCTGAGGTTCTAGGGAGAGCGTACATGCTCGAGACCATTCCAGACCCTTTTTTCTGGAGCGATCTTTCATGTATCACGATGTATCTACCCCAGATGCTGTAATCCATGACACTGGCATTCCATTCCATACATTCCCTATAGGGGTCCAGGACCCTCCGATATCGAATGTCCTTTGAACCCACTTTGACCATGACCGAAGTACTCACCAGTACGTACTCACCTCCCACCTCCCATCCTCGAGAGGTGGACCCTATGGGCTTGGGGCGAAGCACGTTTGTTTCAACGGGGGTCGATGGGAGTGCTTCCGGTTCTTTTACACCGGTGACGACGGTGGTAGAGAACACAGCCAGACCGCCTGACCTGGTGGTGTAGTGTAAATTCCTTTGTAAAACAAGGACTCTTCGGGACTCAATCCGATCCATTCAATCAAGGGTCGGCCACGAATCCTAGCAGACACTTCGAGCTTGGCTGTCGAAGCACCAGCGCTGATGCTCGCAGCGAGCTGCTCGCGCAGCGAGCTGCCCGGTCTCCATGCTGGGAGACAGGAATCAAAAGGGCGCAGTGATGCGGACCGAACTGGCTGAGATGACGTGGGGGGGTGCTTTACAGCTTCAAGGCCAAACTTGTCTCAAATGGAGAGTCCTCAATTTAATGTATTTGAATGTATTATATAGTATTTTAAAAAGTAATTGACAAACAGCAACATGGCGCTCCAGATGCAAGTACTACTATATACCACAACGCTTTGTTTTTTGTTGTTCTCAATGACATAGCCTGTACAGCATAGAGTAACACTGCTTGTTCGCCCTCGGTCTAGATCAAAGTGGCATCCCAATTGCTTCATAGATGTGATGTGTTTGAAAACAACGACCAAAAGCTAAAAAGTGTTGGACCAACACATTGGGAGGGGGGAGACAATTGAACCAACACATTCGTTCTCATCATTTGACACGCTTCCTGCGCTTCGTCGCAGGAGAGAAACGATAAGGTCGTTCTGGAAACCCCAGTCTCCACCAGAAACAGTTCTGGTTGTTCCAATATATGTGGCAATTGAGATTCATTCCATAGGAAGTGGCTGGGACTGGGGAAACATCCATTTGTTTCTTGTTGAGACTTGGCTTCCAGGATTTTCTGAAGCGACCTAGTGGGACATGTCGGCCAAACGGGACGAGCTTCTTCGAACGCGTGATTTCTTGAACATCAAAAGATCCCGATGTGAAGATTGGCATGCGGGTCCACAGATCAAGGGAGAAGGAACTAACTCAGCCTCCAAGTTCAACAAAAAACCACCTGACTTGGCTGGAGTTCCATCATTCAATCAGCTGTTCACCTTTGTTTGGGACCTTCAATGGCTCTTCACTCTCTTCCAACAGCGTGCAGTTGGCGGCGGCCAGTCCCAGTGACGAGACCCACCTCGCCGTCGAGCGCTCCACGCCAGGTACCCCTACGCATCTGGGGCCGCACCCACGAGCAGCGCCTATGGCGCTCAGAGCGATGGTCTCTATCCTACGAGGAGCGTGGAGCGGAGCACTGTAGCGAGGATCCATGGAATCCATGTGGATTACAATATAGAGGGAGACCTCTGAGTTGGACCCCGGAAGTTTCGGAACATATGACCATGTCATATGACCAGTCTACCCAGCCAGGGCCATGGGGATCTCCCTGTTAAGAGACGGACCCAGTGAGGGGATGATCAGAGCACCTGCCTTTGTGATGCGTGGAAGACCAGGGGCACGTCATACGGGACGAATTGTATACACAAACGAGGGGTTCTATATCCGAGACACTCCTGTAATTATGGCATATTTACTGTATCTACATTGACCCCCGAAACCACCCCTAAGGTAGGTAAATATGCCATACATGAAGAGGTTGGTCGATTCACATGGCAGCTTGGCATTCATGGAGGCTCTGTAGAGAAGCACATCATGAAGCGGATTGTCCCACGTGGCATCCATGAAGCTCTGTGTCGGCCCACCATCTCTAGATGCGACGTCATTGCCTAGTGACTGCCATATATGCTGATCAGTTGTGTGGTTTGGGGGGTCAATGTAGGCATATATGGCAGTCCCATGGAGTGTCAGGGATTGATATATTTATATAATACACTAGATGCCCACATTGACCCCGGTTGAAATCAACCACCCCTAGCCTGATCTGTCAATAAATATGCCAGTCTCAGACAGGTCGACCGTTTGGGTCAAATCCTGCAAGTCGTTGCAGGATGCCGCCGCCCTTACCCTCCTACGCAGGCGCGGACGGGATCACCGATGGGGTCATGTCCTTGTTTGTTTTGCAGATTTGGTTGTTTTTGGTGGAGTGGAGAGAGATGAAAGTCAGTTAGATTCATTTTCATTTATATAGATACTCTATTTCATGAAAGTGCTGCAAGTATCAAGTGAGAGCTCAGAGGAATTGTTGGTTCACTCTTTGGTATGCTATAGATCTTGGGGGAGGTGGCTCATTCATCAAAACTCCAAGGATGTGTCTCCTGTTCAAAACCAACATGTTCCTGTCACATCAATGCATTGGGGAAGCAACTGATTCGACCTTCCTCAAGTTGTACACAACATCAGTCCAATCAATCTGGTGACTAATCAGTCCAACATGTTCTTTCTGCAGAAGCGATGCTTCAAACTGACTATGATTTGGCACGAGCCGGTCATCACCGCGACTGCCCCAGTCCTCAAAGACGTCGCGGTGGTTCTCGTCTTCAGGTCTGGCAGATCCATTGGACCCAGGCGGAACTCTGTGCTGTGCTTGGAGTTTGGGGTCGATGAAACCCTTCTCCACCTAAGGTGGAGACCATCCATGTACGGAAGGTTTTTCTAATTGTGTATCTTGTTGATTGTTGCTCGTTGTTTGATGTTGGTCGTTTGTTGTTGTCGTTGTTGTCGTTGTTGGTTGTTGGTTATGTGTTGACGTGCCCATGTTGCTGATTTTGTTGTTCATCTCGTGTTTCTTTGTTGAGCCATGTTCGGAAAAGAGTTGTATGTCGAGATGGGCTCCGCTGGATGTGGCAAACGTACAGTCAAGGTCACGTCCCCCCTTTTCTCATTTGCGCTTTGACAGGCCAAATCCAAGCATGAACGCGCCATTGTGCCCGACCAATGGAAGTCACTGCTTCAATCCAGGTTGCTTCGTTGTGTTGGAGGCCGCCAGAGCGGCAACGTGCGTGGACGCGACTCGAGGCAGTTCGGCCCTGCGTGGTTCGGCCCTGGAGGCATAGGCATGCGGCCTAAAGGTCCAAACCGTTGTGTTGGAGGCGGAATGACAAAGAAAAAGAACAGGTTGTGTGTTGTGTGTTGTTTGTTGTTGTTAGATGTTGTTAGATGTTTGTTGTTTGTTAGAACCGTTGTGTTGTGTGTTGTTTGTTAGATGTTTGTTGTTGTTGTCGTCGTGATGGTGGAGCGCTTCTCGTTTCGTGGAGCCTCGTTTTCCGGTCCGCTTCGTCGGCTGTTCCGAGACAGATTCCGTCGGCTCTTCGGTATCAGTCAGCGCGGACCTGCGGAGCGGCGGGAGCCCAAGGACGAAAGCGAAGCAAACTGCCAAAGCCAGATCAGAATCTGCAAAGGAGTGGTGGATGACGACCCGAAATCCCCCTGTTTGAATCTGCAAAGGAGTGGTGGATGACGACCCGAAATCCCCCTGTTTGAATCTGCAAAGGAGTGGTGGATGACGACCCGAAATCCCCCTGTTTGAATCTGCCAAGGAGTGGTGGATGACGACTGTTTGAATCCCCCTTTTTTGTTTGTTCTGGAACTCATTTTGGAGCAGCATGGTGCCTCTGTGCCGCAGCATGGAGCTGCAGTCCTTTTTGGTGGTGTCCACGGTGTCGCTCCTCCCGTGTGTTTTTGGTGCAGGATGCTGGCTCCAGCCGGGCAGGATCGGTACTCTCACCGTTTTTTGTTGATGGACTGTGAGTGATTGAAGGTGGAAATTTGGCAAACAAGTTCTGTCCGACCCACTTCGGACTAACCTAGTATACACACCCCTTCTCGTAGATCCCTTTGGATGAGCAGCGGCATGTTTAACGGTATAAACTCCAGTGGCTCCCTACGGTCCCGTGGAGCAATTCCAATCCCGCACAAGTGATCTTTTGGAGGGACCGAAGAAGGGTCATTTCGGGCACAGCCAACAGCGGGGACTCAAGAGAAAGTTCACTGGCCCAACAGAGCTGTTCATTTTGCAGCTGCGGAGCTTTGTTTCTCGGGTCGTTTTCAGGCTATATCTAAGAGCTTTGATGTGGTGAGACAGTGTCTGTCCGGGGGAGGAAGACCATGAATGGTCACCGGTCGCCTGCAGGCTTTGCCATGGGACGGGGAGTAGGTGCAGGCGCGGTGAGAGGGAGCAGTTCTCCTGCCAAAAATCTCGAGTCTCAATCTGGAAAACATATAAGTCGCTTAGAAGTCGATGAATCGACTTGTTCGATCTATGGTTCTGTAGGCTTTCTGAACATTGCTTGACACTTGAAACGGATTGATTTAGCTTTACACTTGCGTCGCTCCAACAGGTCCATCACTGTGATGCGTCACATCGGACATACAGAACACATTGCTCTCATTCGTCGCTGTCCGTCAAGCAAGAGAGCAGAAGTTGTTCGTGACCCGAAAAAGGATCCGGGTTTTCCCCGGAATTTAGGCCTCCAGTCGTACCGAACCGTTTCGAAGGGGTGACTCGGGTGGGTGCCATGTTCGGGTCCAGTCATACCGAACCGCTTCGGAGGTACGACGAAGTCGGTGTAGGGGGAGTATACCCAACTGGGACGTCGATCGTTCGGGTCGTTGGAAGGTGAAGGGTCGGGTCGCGGACCCCCGGTCGCGGTCGAACATGGTCGAAGCATCCGTGACCTGTTTGGATCCTGGTAGAAGTAATAGGAGGAGGAGTAGTAGCAGTGGCAGTAGCAGTAGTACTACTACTATAGATGCTAGTATTGGTATCAGTAGTTTTACTGCTTCCTTCAGGGCCACTGGGACGAGGCCAAGATTCTGTCATGCGAGCTATGGGGGCATCGAGCTATATGCACATTCATGTGGAGCGTTGGAAAGGTGCAAAATGTAGGAGGACGTTGCAGAGAGTGGGAAAAGACAAGGGAGAGGTGGTGAAGTGTCACAGCAAGGATTCGCAGCAGCATCACAGCAAAAGCATGCAAAAGCAAGGAAAATTTGGTCAGCCAAGGGCAAACCTGGTGGGACAGTTTTGTTGCATGCATGTTGGAAGGTGTGTACACTTGCTGCGCACGCCGAGCAATGCACGTGAATGTATGATCGTTTTGCTCGCTTCGACATTTGGTGAACATGGCAATTCTTCTGTTGCCACTGCGACAGCCATCGACAGCCTAAAATCAGGAAATGTGTTCATCGACGGAGCCACCTTTCACTGTTGCAGTGCGCGTGCCTACCCTGTTAAATGCAATGAAGACATTGAAAGAAACCTTTAAGATCCTTTCAGACTAATCTCATTCCTGATGTCCTTCGTCCGAATGGGAGGGTGCACTTGTTTTCGCGTTGACGTGATGAAACCAGGCAAGGCAGCAAAAGAGGGTTTAAATGTACAGAACCAGCAGTCACAAAGGGGTGCTTAATGGAGGTTAGGGGTGCCCATTATCCACTCACTTAGGGACCAAATACCACCCCTTTGTGACTGCTGGAACAGGTTTCTTTATAAGTTTACGTCGACACACCAAGTCTTTCGATACAAAAACGCCGCCAGGGCCGCCGCCCTTGGGCCCTGGGCCAGTTCCGCCGGGCTTTGGGCTCTATGGGATGCCAGGCGTCTTTGGGGCGAGAGGGAGCGCATAGACCTTGGCCAGACCAGTTGCGCTGCGTTCGGTATTTGTCCAAGTCCTGCACGAACCTGTCGTGAAGATGATATATACCCTAGGGCTCCAACCACCTCCATTTCGAAGGTGGTTGGGGTCCATGGGTGCCAGGGGGGTCGAATACCACCGGTCACCTGAGGGGATGTGCCTGGAGTACCAGGGATGGGCTGAGTCATTAGAGGGGTGCTTTGGGGGGATGCTTGTTCTGAGTCTGAGGGGTCCACTGTTGTTTGAGCCAGAAGAGGGTCACGTTCACCATGGTCCTTGAGAAAGAGAGTGAGCATGATATGTATGTATAGAGAGAGAGAGAGAGCGAGAGAAAGAACAACACCTGATCAGAAGGCTCAGTGCCAACTTGGCTTAAGCTCAAGGCTAGAACACAACAGTTCCGAGTTCGCCCAGTGATTCGTTGAATGGCATCAACGGTCTGTTCTCGGCCATCCCCTCGTTCGTGTGACAACTCCAGGTCCACCTCCCGGTGGGTTCTTCCACTTTCCAGCCACGGGCTCCTTCGTAGCAGGCGGGATCCGCATGGCTCCAACGCACGGAAAACGTCCGGGGTCGAACCGACGAAGCCAGACACGACCTGCTTGGCATCGAAAGACCGATCGAGAAAGACCGGTTTCAACCACCCCTGGCCTGATCGGTATGCGCCTGCGTTCGTCCCATGGGTCGTGTCAGGGTTTGGCAACTGTTAGTTCTTTTGGGGGGAGCGAAGTGGATTGGGCTGGGAGAAAGGCGCTTGAAGTCCTGCTAGTTCTTGTAGGTTCGACTGAAGGTCTAGGAGTCATAGCAGACAGGTTGTCATGTGCTTGTTTGGCAAACTACATGGGGGTGTGGGTGCAAGTACAACATATACCACCATGCCTTCAGTGAACATGAAACTCTTCCCTCCAAGTCCAGTACTTACTCCAGTGCGTTTCATAATCATGCATGTGTGAGATATGCTTCATTCCATGGTTCTTGGTCTAGTGTATTGCCCGTCTCCCAAAAGCAACCGACTGAAGGACGCTGGATGGAGGTAGAGCAGTAGACTGGCCCTCACTGCCTGGTCTCCTCCTTCGAGGGTTGGGAAGGGCCTTCACAGGCCTCAATCCCTCAGAGGTTGAAGAACCCTATCGAATCCTATAGACTATAGACTATAGATACCCCTGGTTACGGGTCCTATTTACGGTCACTGGCTACCTTTGTTGGATTGGTGACCCCTTTGGGTCAAATCTCCAACGCGCCACGCGCCCCGGCTCTCAGATGCCTCAGTGCTGAGTGCAGGTCCGAAGCGCAAGGGGTCGCGGAATGCGGGAGCTCAACGTGCGCAAGTTGGGTCAAGTGAGTTTGCTAAAGAAATCTAAGGCTTCTAAGCCGGTGCCAGACCAGTCTTCTCATGTCTTTTCCAGAGTTTTCAAAAACAATCGTCCAATAATTTGTTCATTAGTCCACTGACATACCTCGGCAGGCCTATAGGGGGTGCGAACGTCAGTTGTTGCTCTCCGCTTTCACTCAACGAAGCTCATGTAAACCTCGTTGGCACAAACCCTGCGTTTGAATGTTGAACGTTTTGACAGACACATGCAAGACCGCCAAGTCAGAGGAGTGTTCGCATTCCGCGACAGGTGCTTGCTGGTGCTTCTAGGTTCCTTCAAATTCTGTTCCTCAACAAAGTGGATGCGGATCTTTGCGCATTCTTTGCTTCCAAAGAAGAAGGCTCCCCCATTGTTCAGCGCAGTTTATGGGCAATGCCGGCAATGGTCTAAAGCATTGACAAAAAATATTGAAAATTGCTTTACTTCGAATGATCCCCACCCTGAGAGGCGAATTGGAAGAAGCCATGTATTGACAGACTATCCTGACAAACAGGGCCTGACATGCGGATTGACATGCAATGTTCTGACGCTTGTTCTGGCATCAAGTCTAGTATTTGCTCTGACACAACATCTATCATAAAGGCGGTGAAATGTTGTGAACTGTGTTCTGGCATGTAATGTGTTCTGACATTTTTCCTGCCACGAAGTCTGACATGGCTGTGACATATGGTCCGACTGCGGTCCTGATATGTGTTCCGACACGTGTTTTACCATGTGTTTCAACACTTGTTCTGCAACCAAGGAAAGATACTGGCATACAATGGCATTTGGCACATATTCTGGGCATTCTATCTAGCATATATTCTGACATTACACTGGCCAGAAGAAAGTTGCGCTTCTTGATGTTGAAACTCATGACAACCCTATCCCCCTAGAATCCTACACCATGACACAAGGGAAGGTGTGGGCGGTCATTTGTCACCCCGGAAAGTTTTTTATTATTATAAATTTAAAAGAGTGTGATAATTGACCGTCCCACACCTGCCACGAAAATT